GATATGCACATTGGAAACCAAGCGTCACAGGTTCACGCCAGAAACTGGCCGGCTCAAAATAATCGGCGGTCTCGTCGGCTTTTCGAAAATTTTGTTAAAACAGGTTAATATCACTAGGAAAGTTCTATATCCCAGCTGGTTATTTTGCTGCATGCACAAAAGGGCATGCAGCCGGCTATGTGTTTGCAGCGGGTAGTTGGGACGGTGTGTTGAAGTGAAGTTATGTGGGTCAAATCAAAACATTAAAGACTATTAGTAGTTTTATTGGTTACTTGCGTAGCGCTTTTTACTTGGTTAGCTAGGTTAGTTACTTGACACGTTGTATTTATTACCAAGAGTGGCCTTAATATTTTGCCGGCAACCGGCCATATATCTGACGGGGGCTGCGGGACGGTCTCGATTTCCTTAAAATTGCCCGCAGTTTTTTATTGAATTTTTTAGTGTTATCTTCAAGTAAACAAGGCGGTTAGGGTTTAGAGTTAGGATTAGGTTTTAGGGTTTTAGGGTATCGGTGGTTTTAGAGTTAGGGGTTTTGTTAGGGTTAGGGGTTAGGCGTTTAGGGTTTAAGGCGTAGCGGGGAACTGGCCGGCATTTAGGAAAACGAAGGCGACCGTGGCCCGGCTTTTGCCGGGGGCTTATAAAGCCACAAGCGTATTTATTAAACCATCATTTTCATTATTTTGAAACGGCGTTCAAGTGCCCTTGTGGATCTGTTGACTCGCGGTTAAGGCGCCTAACCACTATCGCTAAACCCTAACCCTAAACCATATTCAGCTAGATAGGCCCTAGTTAACCCGGGCGTTACGTTTTCCTCGCGTTATAACGCGGGGGACCGCTACCCAGGGTTACGTTTGCCGCAGTACCCTGGGTGGACATAAGACCCTATTTGAGCCTGTATTAGTAAAACCTGATACGAACAAAAGCGGACCCCTTTCAGCGCCAATTACCGCCTTGGAATTCTAACATTCCGATTTGGACTTTCCACCCTGGATTTTCATAATAGGCAAGGTCGCAAGGGTGTTCTTTTAGGATTATAGGTTTTCAAAAATTACATGCCTTTTTACAGAAACGCCGGGCTACTCTTTGCACTACGTCCGCCCTAAGACACGGCACAATCTAGCTGCTTTCATGGTTTGCCATTTTATTGTTCAGAAACAGGGCACCAACAAAACCAAGATCACGGGTACCGTCAACGACGAGCGGGTTATGGCGCGAAACTACCTTTTTTGATCGGCGCGGGCAAGGTTTAGACGGGCTCCACCGTTCTGTTTCGGATCGCTTCTGTGGGCCAGCCAGACGTGAATAAGGCGAGGACGGGAAACCGGCGGTCAAGGGGCAAGGTTTGTTCGAAAGGTTGCCGCTGTGTTCTTCTATCACAGGGCGCATATGGTCCATTAACTTTAAAATTGATCGCTGAGTTATATTCGGTTTATATTACTTACTATCAGATTTAGTTTTTTTATTATATGTAACTCTATTTATACGTATTGCTCTTAGGGAATTCCTACGCAAAAACTCCGGCCCAGTGCCGGGTCGGCGGTTACAACAGTATCTTTCAAAATTTAATTTACAAACCACCACTTGCATGCACACGCCCCCACGAAAAAACTCACTGCATGTTTACTTTTTTTCTAACTTTTGTGGTAGGATTTGACGGAATCATTATTGTCGTGTGCAATATGTGCTTGTTCTGTGTGATGTGGTTGTGTGTGTTGTGTGTGTGTGTGTGGCCTGTGTGTGTCTGTTGTGGTTGTGCGTGAACCGTCGTTGCGTTTGCCGTTGCCGTGCCGTGCGTGCGGTTTGCGTGCCGTGCGTTAGCCGTTACGTCGGTTGTGGGGAGAATGAAGCCGAAAATCACTTTTCAATTCATGAACAGAAAGGGTTCTCACGAAAGACGTATTACAGGTGTTGGATTTCTAGGCCTGTTTTGAGCCTTCATTGATAATTAACGCCAAGCTATTGTCGAAAAACTCTGTATCTTACGATAAAATATGGTATTGGTTCCGGGCATTTGAGTATAATCAGGGGGTTAATAAATGACAATTTGGTCATTATTAACCCTGATATCAATTAATTAAAGCTTGGGGCTGTTGACGAGGATTAGATGTATTGCAGGCGGCCGGGCCACCCGGTTTTTCAAAGTTGGGGGGGCCCAATTGAGGAAGAATGAAAGTGAACCCATTGGCTTGGGAAGCGACTGAATGCCAGAGCGGACCGAGCCGGGGTGGGTGGTAGGAGGGGATTTCCCCCTTCCGACGGGCAGGGGAGGCCTTTTTTCAAATTTTGGCACTTGAAAAATGGAGCGGAGTTTCCTGGCGTTTGCACATCGGAAGGTGTGAGAAAATTTTGCCAAATGTTACATACCAAAAAATGTCATTTTTCATGTTGTTTTACCACGGTTCTTACATGTTAATAGGGAATAAAGAATATGAAATAGTGATCTTTTTTTTCAGGGCGTACAGGAGAATTTGTCCCATTTTCTTTTCAAACCTGGGTAATAGTCAAAAAAAATAAACATGCTGAAATTGATATTTAAAACACTTATAAACATCACTCGGGAACTAGCTTTTTATTTTCTTTAGTTTATTCTTGCATTGGTATTGCTTGCAACAGTTTTTGTGGGCCTTTAAAGAACCCAAAGCTTGCCAGGATATTACAATAAAAGAATACAAGCAACTTATTTAATTAGAATTTAAAAAGGGGACTTAAGAAACTTAAAGTGCAAAAAAAAAAACTTAAAAGAATTAAAGGAAACTATTAGAATTAAAATATATACATTAAAACTTAACGCTGATAGGCGTCTATGTACCCCAGGCTTACTTGCCGGGAACATACCCTGGGTTACCGGCTCCGGTTCTTATTTACCCGGGCCTCTGCGTTATCAAGGCGTGGGCGTAGGCTTCGCGTGCTTGCGCGTACTAAGCTCGTGCGTACTGCGTGGCGTAGTGCGAGTATACAGTAGCAATCCTGTGTGCATATGGGGCAGGGCCCGTAGCTAGCTTTATATTTGGGGAGGGGTTCCGTTTTTCAATGTTTGGTTTAAATTGTTTTGCTCGGCAGCAGGCCGTTTACAGGGATTTGTAACCAGTGGGGTGAGGTCTAACCGTAACCCAAAGTTGCGAACCACGCGGAAAGGGGGGGTCGTTTGGGGGGCGGGGCCTCCCCCAAGAAATTTTTTTTCAAATTAGGCCCCTCTCAGATTCTGGATTTTTTCTGCGCAAAGCAAGGGGGCGGGTCGCCGGGACTCCCTAGACCCCGCACCCCTGTACACGCGCCCCCTGCTCCGGCGCGCGAAGCGATCAAGGCGAGGGAGCAAGACGCGGATCCGGAGCGGAGGGGGAGTGGGTTGGGAGGTGGGTGTTTCACTGCTTTTCACCCTCCCGCACAATGGAGATTTTCGCAATTATTACACTAAAAATTGGAGCGACCTGCAGTAAAATTTCTTGCAAATTAAAAAAATTTGTGTGCTTGGGGGGAGGGCTCGGGGGGGGGTGTTCGTTTCGAAGATCCCCCAAAACCCGGCCCTGGCTACGGGGCCTTTGCATATTTGCAAAGTACGTTACTGATATTCGGACCTCGAATCCGGAGGCCTCCGAAGCCACAGGATCAGCCACCGAAGTTCCGCCACGGTAATTGGGGGTAAAAATACGGGCGCTGTTGGCATGGGTCTGGGATTTAATGCATAGGGAGTAAGGCTAGCAGGGACTTCGAATTCCAAACTTTTTGAATTTCCAGGTAGGGGGTCAGATGAAAATGTGGATAAACCAACTCTCTTTCGCTCTTTCCCCCTTCCTCTCCTCGCTTATTCCCCTCTTCTTTTCTTGCATTTTCTTTTCCGCATTCATAACCAAAATTACATTATTAGTTATATATTTTTTTCTGCCAAAAAAAGGTTGGGGGGGCCCGGGCCCCCCCGGGCCCCCCCGCTCCTTTACGCCGCCCGCCCTGGTAATTGGTTGTTTGCTATTCTATAGTCCAGTGCACGGTCGCGTGGTTGTCAAATTGGGGAATTAAGAGAGCGAGAGGAGAACATGGAAGGGAGAGAGAGGCGCCTTTCACGCAAGGAGGAGGAGAACAAAAGGCCGCGCCGAGAGGTGCGCTCCGGTGATCGGGGATAGATAGGAGGAGAGCGGAACGAGAGGGGGGGGAAGAGGTCGTTGAGGTAGCGGGGTGTTGTGGGGGGGGGGCTAGCGCGCTTGTTGGTGGGTGTGTAATGGCGTGTGTTGTTGCGTGTGAGAGGAGGAGAGAGAGAGAGGAGAGAGGCGAGGCGGAGAGAAGGACGAGAGAGAGAGAGAGAAAAGAAACAATAATTCTTGAAAGTAGGCTACCTATTAACTTTTTGGGCCGGTTCTGGCTTTTCTTCCTCGTGCGTTGGGAAAACAAGGGAGGTTAGCGGGTTTGCGTGGTTCCCCTGATTTCAGGGAATATTACAAAAAATCGTGGTCTATTGCTCTAGTTAGTAATAAGCCCACGAAACTGCGGAAATCTTGCTCGTCGGTTGTATGCCTTCCACGCCGCGCATATATTCCCCACTCCTAGTCAAGGCAGCGAAGGCTTTTTTTGTCTCCCTACCCGGTGGCAGCTGAGTCATCCCACCAAGGATTCGAGTTTTGGGTGGAAGAGAGGAGGAGGAAGAGGCCCTAAATATGTATAATGGGAAGGCGGGACAGGGCGCCTGCGCTGTAAAATGAGGGAATGGCTGTTTCGATAGATTAGAAGAAGGCGACGAGGGAGGGTGAGAGGACAGTTGAAGGCAGTTGTTGATTGAGGAGAGGAAAAAAAAGAGGGAGCGAGGTGAAAGTATTATGAGGCAAGCTAGGGAAGGATAGTTTAGTGAGTTCTGTGTATGGAGGAGGAGATGAGTTTTGGAAGTAAAGGAAAGAGACAAGCAAAGAGGAGAAACCCCCTCAATCCTTAAATTGTTAGTACCGCGCCATTGTTCATGTTAATTATTTGGGACACCCGATATCTTGCCAATTTTCGATTAATCCTAAAACAACTATATATACCAGGGATTATTTGCTTATTATTTCTTACCATACTGATAACTTATCAAAATTACTATTATCTTAAATTAATTATCATAGAATGGTCATTCACTAACTCTTTTTTCGCACCCACTGCTCCCGTCTGTTTCTTCTCCGTATATCTACTAAACTATCCCCTAACATTGCCTTACTTATATGTACCTCCTAATGCTATAATCACTAAATTCCAAACCTAACTGCGCAGACTCTAACCTGCGACCACGCCCGCGGCGTCTTTCTTCCTTTCCTGTTCAGCGCTCTCCGACTTATACGCTTCTCCTTTTCATGGTTAGACGCCGGCTGACAGAATTGGGTCCTCAATTTACGAGCTTTTGTTTGTTCCGTGCTTTCTCTTTCGTTACTTTGTTCGCCTATTCTTCCTACATTGGGGCCACCGCACACAGACTCGACTCTCCTTTTTTTTACAGAACCGGATGAAACGGGATTTGAACGCGAATTGAAAGCGAGCTGAAGCACCATGAAGCCGATGTAGGTGTGCGGCGGAAACCTACCTACGACTAAATCTTTCTTTCTCGCTCCCTAATGCATCCTCCCTCTGAAATAGAGAGCTGCCACCTGTTACTAATTAACGCAGGCAAAAACTACACAGTACCACCACCACATGCACTGGCACTGGCAGTGGCATACGTTACATATGTAACACACTGACAGTACAGAATGCCATCGAAATTATACGATTTAAGGAGCACAAACCTTCTTCAACCAAATTTAGCTTTTGAAATTTCACTGTGACATTACAGCCTCATACATCCAGGCATTTATAGATTCTACTAGCAAACCCGGCAGTCAAATTCTTTCTAACAGTAAAGAAATCCATGTTTAACCCGCCTCTTGAGGGTCAAAAGATTATCCGACACTTACTCTCCGCATGTCAGCAGAAATTACATTTCATGGTCCTTTCAATAAAGCCATAAAAATGCTAGGTCACCGCTGAAACAAAAAAGTTTTCCACTCGCTCCATCAGACCATGTCCTCAGAAAATGT